CTCCTCTCCCCCCTTGATCTCGCTCTCTCCCCTCCTCTCCCCTCCTCTCGCTCCTACAGCTTCTGATATTGCTTGGTGTCGGTCGGCAGCTTGTGGTAGAGCCAGGACCCTGCGAGGGCTCCGACAGACCCGGACGCCATGACGCACAGATAGTAAGGCCACCACCTGCTGATGAAGAGAAGGTCCTGCCTCTCAGTCACTTTGCTGCTGCTCCTCCACCACCACCACCTCCTGCTCCTGCTCCTCCTGTTCCTCCTGCTCCTGCTCCTGCTCCTGCTCCTCCTGCTCCTCCTATCTGCCCCTGCCCCTACTTTCCTCGTCCTCGTCCTCTCCTCGTTCTCGGCCTCTCTACCCTCCTCTTACCTGTACTGCAAGCACCACCAGCCGCCATATAATGGAGAGAAAGTAGGTGGTCTGACCTGCGTTAAGTGAGGGGAGAAGAAGTGAAGGAGAGGAGGAGAAGAACAAGGACGGAGAGGAGGAGGAGGAAGGACGGGGAGGAAGAAGAGGAGGAGGAGGCTCGTCTACCTGTGCTGCGAATGTTCTGCTGGGTGATCCCAAGGTCGTGACGCGTCGCGATGTAGGCGAAGAGGACAAGAATAGGAGGCCCGCCAGCTCCGAACAGGCCGCCAAGGAAGCCGGCAATACCTCCAGCGACGGCTGAGGAGCGTCAAGGCAAAAAGGGCTAGAGGAGAAGGAGAACCTGAGATGGAGAGGGTGAAGGTATCCCAGGGCGAGCAGTGGCCAGGAAAGGATGAGCAGAACTGCTCGTTCTTCGCCTTGACGGGTGCGTGTTCGCTCCATTCCCCCTCCCCCCCGCTGCCAAGTTTGGATTTGTTCCTCCCTCCATTCACCTCGCTCGTCGGGAACGAGCTGTCTGCCCTGCTGCTCTCCTCTTGACTCTTCTCCTCCGCTTCAACAGCGATCAAGTTTGCGCTGCCTCGCTCCTCTAGCGTCTCCGCCTCCTCCATCCGCACGGCGGCGGGTCTGTTGGTGGACTGGAGCTCGACCTCCTTCTGCTTCTTCTCCCTCCATCGGATCACCATCATCTGCATGATGACGAAGGCGATCACGATGCCTCCGAACACTCGCTTGAGCATGTGCGACAGCGCCTCATGCCCTGACCTCACTGTGATTTGCAGGATGCTCGTGCCGATGGGCACAGTGACGGCCATGCAGGAGGAGATGGCGAAGACGACGGGCCAGAAGATGTTGTGCCGGTCGTAGATGACGAGCGGCAACGAGGTGACCGAGTCCATGACCGTCACCAGCGCGATGTTGCCGGCCAACCCTCCCAGCTTGTCATCCCCCGTCTCTTCTCCGAGGGCCCCGAAGGAGTTGAGGACCTTGAGGACGCTGACGAAGACGATGCCTCCTCCGAAGCCCGTGTAGGACTTGATCAGGTTCGAGACCTGCCACAGCTCATTAGCGGAAGTGGGGAAAGGGGTGAGGGCAGGAGTAGGTCGAGGGCAGGAGTAGGTCGAGGGCAGGTGGAGGTCGAGGGCAGGAGGAGGTCGAGGGCAGGAGGAGGTCGTTTCTTACAAGGCCAACGCTGGAGGACACGAGGGCTGCTTGCAAGGAGAAGTTTTGACTCATGGCGGCGGCATCAACATAGAGCAGCAGGTTGTGCTTGTTGAGATTGACTCTCCATTCTCAGCCGGCAACTCACAGGGTAAATGCGCAAACCGACTGTGGCAAGAACATCAGCAAATCTCTCCCCCTCGACATCCTCTTCACCGTGTCCTACCCTCACTCCATTCTTCGATATCGCCCATCTCCCTCCTGCCTTGCTACGGCTCGACCCGCTGATGTGCTCCCATCCTGGCCTCTCGTTTGTTTCTGCCTGACATGTTCCTCATAATAACAGCTTGATGGTTCACGCCGTTCTCACAAGAGGTTTTTCCTCTTCCTCTTCCAGTCTCTGCATGCCCTGCTTCCTGCCTGCTTTCCTTCCCCCTTGCACTCCCAAATCCCCTCGAAAAACTCTCACCATATCTCCGCCAGTCCTTTCTCCTCCCTCCTTCCCTCCACACCAACATCGACTGTTCCCTCCATCCGTGCCCTCATGACTGTTTGCATCTCCATCTCTCCCTCTCCATCCCGCCATCCTGTCCTCATCGCCATCGTAGCCTCCCCCCGCCCCCCTCTTTACATTGCACTGCTCCTTTCTATGTCCCCGTCCCCTGCTATGACAAACCTGCTAGCTGGTTGTCGCGGTGCCATATTTGTTTCTATTATAGGTTGCAGCTCGCCATAGGAAGCTTTCAGTGACAGGCAGCTCGGCCATTCCTTTTGCCGGGCCCCGGGTTCCTTGAAGGCCCGACTAGGTAGGGTTGCCTCGATGAGCCCCCTGTACCCCTCCGCCCCACACCCCTCCACCCCTCAATCATCCTCGTCCACCCCCACCCCCCATGGCCAAGAATGAGTCATAAAATATCGTCTCTTGAACCCCTCCATCGCCCCTACCCTTAACCCCTGGGGCTCTTTCTGTGGGACCCTAGCCCCGAGGGAGGATTGAACACCCTGAATTCACCCACCCCACCCCACCTTCCTTGATTACGCTTCCGTACATAGAGGTGGTCAGAGGACCCCCATCAGATTGACTACCCCTCGACCACCCATCACCCAGTCCATTCCAGAACATTCGAGATGAATGGCAGCGAGTAAAAAAGAAATAGAATATTTCAAATTGTAGAGATAACTTTGAATGTGGGAGGGGAATTTGACAGACCGCATCCAAACCTTTTAACCCACCCCTCCATGTACCCACCTCAACAGTTTATTCCACGAGAAACGAATAAACAGCCAGATACCCATGGGTACCCCTCCCCCATCATTCTGTACCCCCTCCTTCCCCTTACACTACCCCCAACGAGAATTCGATCGAGGTACCCCCATCGTTCAATCATATTTTAGCCCCTGTCGGCGACTACCCCACCCACCCTCCTATCGAACGCCTAAGTGCTTCTGACATGGCAGAGGAACCAGCGAAGCTGAGCATCGATCAAGCGCGCGGTAGACGCTCCTCGACTTCTAGTTCCTCTCCTCCTCCCCCCTCCTCCTTCCTCTCTCCCTCCGCTTTAAGCCTGAATCCCTTCCTATCTACCGTGCCCGTCCCTTCTCCTTTCTGTTTTGTTCAAAGTCGTTCGATTCCCAACTTGTTGTGCTTCAATCCATGCTGAACGTATGATATACAGTGGCTGCAAAGGAGGCCTGCGCCATTTTTGAACAGCCGGCCAATGCAGAAAGATTGCTTGCTGTTCAGAAAGAAAGCGCGGGCGACATTGGGAAATTCTTCATGATGGTCATTCCTGTAGCAGTGGAGCTAGTTGGCTCAGTAATTGCGAAGTATGGGTTTGAACCCTCACAAAGTGGAGCGATGGAATTTGTCAAAGAATTACGAAGATACGAAGCAGATGGAGAGATCAAGGCGCTGGTGAAGTTGCATTGTGGGGACCTTGTAAATATCTGAGCTATACACAGGCTGACAATCTGAAGACCAAGTTTATGCCTAATATGATGCCAGCGGCCCCTGTGGACGAGATGGCTGATTGAGTGGATAGAGTCTCGGAGATGTACGACGTGCCGATCAGCGGTGAAGTCATGAAAGGACTTGAAAATTTGTCTAACGTTAGTATCAGGTAGAGCAGGAATTTCAAATTGACAAGGATGGTTTTCCATTGAGTGGCCTCCAACCTTGCCCCTTGGAGCTTGTTTGCTCTGATGTGGTGAATCAAACTAAATACATTTTGAGGCCAGGCTAGAGCACTTTATTTTTCTTGTGAGTAATGCAGTGTGCGACGTGTAGGGTGGTCTAGCAGTGGTGTATACAATAATTAGGGTGTCGAGTTGTTGTAAGAGCCATCTGTTATTTTGGATGAAAAAGTTTCAGATCTTGCTTAGTACGTTATTCTACACTCGTGCATGTTCCTCAACATCTTCCCGCACGTTACAGCATTGCCGACCTCCCTCGTGGCGGCGGAGCATGCTCTACCACCACTCCCTCGACACTGTTCTCCAACACTCCCCACCTGTAAAGTTCCGGCGTCAAGCTTAAGCTTCTTCTACAGCACATCCTGCCCTCACCTGAACACCTGATCACACAGCCCACAACGCATGTTGGCGCAGCCTCCATTCTTGACGATCGCCATCCCGCAGTGAGGACAAGGCCTCCAACCCCCAACCCCATCGATGGTGTCCGGCCATACGAATCGTTTGACCCAGCTCCATATTCGCTTCGCTATGTGGTACCTGTGCTCGGGATCCTCCCACTGACGTTCGCAGACGAAGCACATGATGGTGGCCTGCCCCGAGTAGCCAACCCCCATGCACGACATCTCCGGACATTCCACGATGTCACTGCCAGCTGGTTTCCTTGCGATGAGCATCTCCCTCTTCTGTAGCTCGCAAACGCACTGCTGCAGCCTCAGATTCTCGCGGGAGAGAAACACCAGCTTCCTGTCCAACAACCTTCCACAACCTCCGAAGCAGCGCACGTTCCAATGTCGGGCATGGCGCACTCGCGCGACCTTTTCTGCATCGTCAGTCTTGAGGTATTGAATCACGCAGCCTTTGCAGCATCTGTCTCCGCAAGAATTGAACACCATGTTCCAATATGGCACCCTTTCGCAGCAAAGAGGGCATTCGTCCGTCTTCAGTGCTAGGTATCCAACTAACAGCAATGCAACCGTTGCAAGCAGAGAGGGAAGACTGAAAGAAACAATCAGCATCATTGAAGAAACGACAGGGTGCTTCAAGTATCGGAAGTATTCCAAGGTGCCTGCAGGAGCCGCTTTAAGAGCAGATGTCAACGTCACTTCGATGTTGATAGTGATGGCAACATCCCACGAAGTTGAGAGCTTATCGGCATAAGAGTAATCTTTCAATCTCTTCAATGAATATTGGAGTTCTCGAGTCAGCCTGACCAGTCTTTGATGAACAACTTCCACCACACGGTTCTGACGCTGCCCTCCTTCCATCCCTAGAATTCCCTGGACGGGGCACAAACAAGGAGAGACAGCTCACGAAGATCGATTGAATGCAAACAACAAGAGATATCAACCGCCTGAAGGAAAGCCCGTCAGATACAAGCACATGTTGACCTACTCCAAAGCCTTCAAATCAGGTTGCCCACAAGAATGCTACATCATCATATTTTGTTTGTTTCCTCCATCTTTCTCAGATCTCAAATCACCTCCAGCCTATCCTGTTTTATCTCACGACCCATGTCCTCTCCTACAGTGCCAGCCTTCCTTCTCCTTTCCCTTCCTCCTCTTGACCAACCATTTTACCACAAATTCTACGTGCCTTCCGTTCATTTGACTGAAAAAGAAGGGCAAACCGGAGCAAACAAAGGAGGGGGAGGATAGAGCCTACAAACCCGCCTCAATAAAATACTAGGAAACGAAAAAGGCAGCGAAACCCGCTGACGGCATGCACGACAAAATATGATGCTTACGGATACTCACGGATACCCACGGATACTTTCCCGAGTACTTCGGAAGGAATGAGGGGGATGAGGGCGGTGACTAAGCAGGTATTATCTCAATACCGCAGGGGGTATTTTGTGTTTTGCTTTATCCCGATTGTTCTTGATATTTGCAAAACAATATTCGATAGAATTGAAATTTAGCAGAAAAAATGTAAAACTAATTCAAACAATTCAGATCAAGACAAACCCTGTACCAAGCACAGTGACTCCTGGGTTATGGCGTAACCCTGGAAGATGCCCAAGAAGAACAAGAAGCATGCTAACAGAAAGAAGCGCGAGGAAGACAAGCCTGAAGATGATGCAGAGCAAGAACAACAACACGTACAGACACACCATGATCAACAAGAAAGTCGACAACAACTAGCTCCTCCTCAGCACGGTTCAGAGCACAAGGATCTCAATGACCAAGAAGAGACGCAGACAGAACAAGACAGACCAGACGAACAGAAGGCTCCTGATCTGTCAGACGGAGTAAGCTCATCTGAGAATAGCAAGAACAAGTCAGATGATCCCACAGACACTCATGTGGAGCCGACTAATGGATCCAAACCGCAGGGCGATACCGATCAAGTCCGAGACAATGCAGATTCTCACAGCGACCTAGGCGGCAGCGTTCCAGTTGTTGCTGAGCATGCGACGGATGAGGGAGAAGAGAGGCAGCACGATGCGGAGGAGGTCAAGATGGCACCTCACGATCACAACCAAGTTGAGGAGCACGATGCGTATGATGATGATGCAGAGAGGAAGAAAGAGGTTGGAGATGATGAGGGGGGTCAAGTGCATGTCGACGCATGGGCTGGTAGTGACTCAACTCAAACTGCCCAGTCGAACTCTCAACCCGACATGACTGACCATACAGACGCTGGACAACCTCACGACGACAAGACTCAAATCTTCGTGCCTGTCGAGAACAACGAGTTTCACACAGACAGTGAGGGGGGAGATGGGGAGGAGGAGGAGGAGGAGGAGGAGGAGGAGACAGTTGTTGCTGTAGACGAAAAAGTTGCGTTGTATGCTCAAGGAGAAGATGAGACGAGGGAGGAGGAGTTGGAGGGCCGACAGAATGGAGGACAGACGTCAGCCCACAGGAGCATTGAGGAACAAGGGGGGTTGGAAGCTACAGGCGAGGACGAGGACGAGGACTCAAATGGTGACGTGTGGGGAGGGGATGTGACCTGGGGGGAGGACGGAGGTGATGTGAATGAGGACGAGGACGGAGGTGATGTGAATGAGGACGAGGACGGTGAGGACGCGATGAGCTGCAGCAACAGGCTGGGCTCCGATAGGTTGTTGGAGATCCTGGGAGAGATTCCTCCCGACTTCGCTGCTCCTAAGGGAGATGTGGAGGGGGACGTGGTCGACTCGGATGTGGAGGAGGCGGATGCTGATCCCGGCCTCGTGGTGAGAGCAGAAGAAGATGCAGCGAGGGAGGGGAGAGCTGGAGACGAAGACGAGGGAGAGGGAGCCAAGCTTTCTAATGGGCATGAGAAGCATGACGACGACAATGAAGAGGAGGAGGAGGAGGAGGAGGACGATGATGACATGGGGACCGAGCGCAAGGGGGAGAAGAAGTCGGGGCAAGAGACCAAGGAGGATGGGCGGGAGGTGCCTGGTGCCTCTCGCAAGGCTGACAAGCAGGAGGCAGTGGCAGCGTTGGCTCCGAGTCAGAGGGCGACGGTGAGAGATCTGTTCCTCAAGAAGGTCCCGGAGAGAGTCGCCGACGGTTCCCGCAAACTTGCGCTCGCCTTCCTCATCCTGGAGGGCCAGGACTTCCCCTCCTACGAGCCCTACGAGGAGTTGAGCTGGTGGCCGCACCGCCTGAGGCTGCAGGTGGAGGACAAGCGCCCGGGCATCAGAGCAGCGATCGTGAGGACGGAGACGCGAGGCCCCAAGAGCGCCATGTACACGACCTACGTCATCCACGTCAAGACTGCGTTCCATGTCCGCGGCGTCGCTCGTCGTTTCTCCGACTTCAAGCTCCTCGACCGCAAGCTCCGCGCTCGCTTCCCCTTTGCTCCTCCTCTCGCCATGAGCAGCCGCATCCTCGGGACGCTGTCGCCCGGGTTCGTGCAGGAGCGCCGGCAGCAGCTGCAGGAGTACCTCGACAAGATCCTCGCCGACCACCAGCTCGCCCACAGCGACATCCTCAAGACCTTCATGGCCCTCAACGGCTGCAGCGAGATCGGGGAGGAGGAGGCGGCTCGGGAAGAGGAGGGGAGGGCCAAGGGAGGTCGCACGCTGGCGAGCAAGAGGTGGGAGGTGAACGAGCATCCGATCGCGAGGCTGCTGGAGGAGCTGGGAAAATGTCGGTCAGCAAAGGAGGCGCCGCGGGAGACGAAGCTGCTGAACAAGATTGGGCTGATCATGTGCGACCTGGGCAACAAGGCGGAAGGGCTCGTGTACCTCCAGAAGGCCGTCGCCTCTGCCCGCCTCTCCTCCGACCGCCACGCGCTCCTGACCTGCCTCAGCAACCTCGCCTGCGCACACCTCAAGTTCGGCGGGGAGGGGACGAGCATCGACCTGCTCGAGGAGGCGGTGGAGATTGCGCAGCGACTGGGCGACATGGCGGAGGAGGCGAACATACTCCGCAAGATCGCCCTCGCGCATGCGTCGGACGGGGAAACGGCAGCGGCCCTGCGGTTCCTCGGGGAGGCGAAGGATCTGTTCCACGAGGAGGAGCACGTTGAGGGGGAGGCGATGTGCCTGCTGAGCTTGGGGATCCTCCGATACGAGAGCGGCGAACATGCCGGAGGGATCGACGCGCTGGAGGAGAGCCTGCAGCTGAGGCGGACGCTAAAGGATAAGCTGGGAATCGCCGAGGTGCTGAACAGGATCGGGCTGAGCCTGGTGGACATCGGGTATCCCCTGCAAGCCCTCGACTACTTCGAGCGCGCCCTCGCTCTCGCACAGGAGGTGGGGGATGCGCAGGGAGAGGCGCAGACCCTGCGCATGCTGGCCTATGTGCACCTGGCGCAGGTGGACGGGGACAGGAAGCTGAGCTTGGAGCTGTTCCGCAAGAGCCTGTCCTACTCCAAGAGGAACGGAGACGTTGGGGGTCAGGCCGCCTGCTACGAGGGGATGGGGGATGTGTTGATGGACATGGACGACGCCAAGACAGCCGCCACTCACTACACGCAAGCGCTGAGCATGCGGGAGGGGTGGGGGCTAGGGAAGATGGACCCCCAGGGGCACATGCGACACGTTCAACTGATCCGCAGCAAGATCGCGAGAGCGAAGGCGCAGGTGCGAGAGAGGAGGAGAGAGACAGAGAGATCGATTGGAGGGGTGGGAGGGTTGTGAACGGGCAGGGGCGAAGGATGAGAATTGACGGGTCGATGCGACAGATCCTGGAATCTTCGGGTAATGGCGACGAGTCGTCAGATGGTAAGAGCAGGGACGAGCAGAGGGCGGCGAGGAAGAGCGAGGGAGGGGGGAGGAGAGGGGGAGCGAGGGAGGGGGGAGGAGAGGAGACGGCATGGGAGGTCAGGGATGAGGAGGTCTGACTTAAGTGTAGGTGAAGGCGATTTCCTGTGGCGTTCGAACAACGGTCCCTCCCCCTTCCTCCACCTCAAGGCCAGCTGACCCTCAGCAGGTGTCAACACCGACAACGAGCTCGACCCCATCGCTGAGGATCGCGAAGTGAGCAAGGTGATGGGGTGACACAGCGAAGGAGGAAGAAGGGGAGGCGAGGAGGAAGGTGGAGGTGGGGGAAGGTGGAGCGAGGAGGAGCGAGGAAGGGAGTACGAGGTTGGATATTGATTTCTCCTTTCAATTTGTAGCAGCAAGAGAGTTCCAATGGGAACCTGACGTACCTCAAGGTATCCCCTGACAAGTCCCGTCCTTCCTCCTCCTCCCCGCTCTCCTTCCCTCTTCTTCTTCTTCTTCTCTCCCCTTCCCCTCCTCTGCTTCTCCTTCCCCTGACCCCGCGCAGGAGCTCGCGTCCTCCACCATCACCAGCGCGCTCACTAGGATCTGGTCTTGATAGAACACTGTTGGTGCTAGCAAATCTGCCATGCTGTCTCCCAGCTGCTTGTATTCCCCCCTCTCCCCCAGCTCAAGTTCAGCTCTCCTTCCTCCTGTACACGTACATCCCCCATGAGTCCGACCAGGAGACGGCGACCTGCTGGCGGTCAGCTGGAGTCCTGTCAAGGGTGATGTCACCTTGTAGACGGCTGCTCGCTCGAACTCCGGCTGAACGTCGAGGATGCGAGACCAGGAGACAACGAGAGCGCCGGGAGCGAGCTCTGAGAGAGAGTGAGAGGGAGGAGGGGAGAGGAGGGCAAGTGGTGAGAGGAGAGAACAAGGGAGGAGGGGAGAGGAGACGGGGAGAGAACAAGGGAGGAAGGGAGAGGAGACGGGGAGAGAACAAGGGAGGAAGGGAGAGGAGACGGGGAGAGAACAAGGGAGGAAGGGAGAGGAGACGGGGAGAGAACATTTGTGATGGTGAGCAGGAGGAGGCAGGGGGAGGGGAAGGAGCACAAGGTGAGTTGCAAACCGTCGGCGAGCTTCTGGTTGAGCAGAGCGCCGAGGTTGACGTCCCTGCTGAAGGCGAGCACGAGGATATGGATGCCGCTGTAGAGATATTGAGAAGAGGAAGAGAATGGGAGGCAGGGGAGAGGGGGGGAGGCAATGAAAGGTTAGTAGGAGGAAGACAAGGGGGGGGAGGGAGGAGGGGGAGGGGCGAGGAGGGGGGACCTGAGGTCTGCCTGGAGGGCATCGAGACATTCAAAAGAGATGAATTGAGATCTGCTCGTTTGTCATTTCACCACCTCCCTCATCCTCATTCTCATTCTCATCCTCATCCTCCCCTCATGCTCTTCTCTCGTCTCGTCTCGTCTCGTCTCGTCTCGTCTCCTCTCCCTCATGCTCTCACGTCTCTTCCGTGAGGTGTCGAGCTGCTGCTTCCTTGGCAATCTCAACCTGCGCAGCTCAAGTCATTTCCTCCTCCCTCTCCCTGTCATCCCCTCTTGCTCCCGCTTCCCCAGTGCTCCCGCTCCATCGCCCCCTCCTCCTTGCTTCTCTCTTCTTCTCCCTCCTCCTCACTCTCTTGCCTGCGAGCATAAGATTTCCCAGCCCTTGGCGCGCATCTGCCACGTCAGAGCCCCGTAGAAGACGTGCCATCCGATGCTGCTGCCCAGCACCCCGTAGATCTAGAGATGCGCATGAGCGACATCTGGGAGGAGGGGAGGTGAGAGAGGAGGAGGAGGAGGAGCAGCAGCAGCAGCAGGTTGAGAATGTTTTGATGAGTTTCAACTTTGCCGTTGCGCTTCGCATGCTCGACGGCTTCTTGCAAGACTTGATTCTGAAATACCTGAGGCTCCAACGTCACTTGCACCTTCGTACTCCCCTCTCCTCCTATTCCTCCTTCCCTCTCCTCTCCTCCTCTCCGCTTCTCCTCCGTTCCCTCCTCCCTTCCTGTGCTCTTCTCCTCTCTTCCTCTCCCCTTCTCCTCCCTTCCTCTTGCCTTCCCTCCGCCCCCTCCTCTCCTCCTCCTCGTCACCTTCAACCAGCTCTGGTAGAAGGTGGAGCCGTAGGCAAACGAGTGCTTCAAGTAGCCCGTCAGCCGCTGCATCCTCCTTCCGTCCAGCTGCCTGTCCCCGATGAACTCCAGAGTCGTTTCTTTCCCGCGCAGCTGCTCCATGCTCAGTATACCCCATCTCTCTCTCTCCTCCTCTCCCTCCTCCTCCCTTCCTCCTCCTCCTCCTCCCCTCTCCTCACCTCGAGTACAAGACTGCGCAACTGGCAGGCCGTCGTCATGGCGGGGGAGCAACCCGTTTCATCCTGCCAGCCCGCAAGGCCGTTGAGCAGGGAGCGCTCGTCCTGGACAAAGAGATGGTAGAACTCGTTGGTGTCCGTGTTGATGTACTTGAATACAAAGTCTGGCCTCCTCCTCTGAACCTCCTCGAACGCCCTCGAGCTCTCCGTGTGCCGCCCGAGCTAAGATGAACCATCAACGGTCCGCAAGGGAAGACAGAGGAGTAACAGAGGCTAAGGGGAAGGGGAGGAGTAGGAGCAGGAGTAGGAGTAGGAGTAGAAGTCAAAGTAGTAGTAGTAGTAGTAGTAGTAGTAGGAGGAGGAGGAGGAGGAGGAGGAGGAGGAGGAGGAGGAGACTACCTGACGGTACACGATCCCAAGGTAAAAGAGGATGTCGCAGTTGCTGGGGTCAGCAGCAGCAGCGCGGAGGAGGTGGCGTAAGGCTCCCTGCCATCGATTTCATTTCCAACCGCAAGAGTGAGGAGGAGGAGGAGGAGGAGAGAGGAACGAGAGGAAAGAGAGGAAAGAGAGGTGGAGCAGGAAGAGTGAACGGAGGAGGAGGGAGGGAGACTGAACGCGTGAGATTGACCTGCATGTCCGGGACGTCGAGGAGGAGCTTCGCGTAATTGTAGTTCAATCCGTGATGTTCGGGCTCGTACTGCAGCCCTTGCTCCAACGCTCTCATCGCCTCCTCCTCCTTCCCCGCGTTCTCGAACGCCAGGCCCAAGTTGTTGTACCCTCGCGCGTCTCGAGGCTCTAACTTGGTGACCTTGCAAGGTTTCAGTGCGGGAAGGAGTGAGAGCGCAAAAAGAGAAAGGGAGGAACGCGAGGGAGGAAGAGGTCAGGGAGGAGGGAGAGGGCAGGACAGATTCTGAGAGAGAAGTGAACAGGGAGGGAGAGGAAGAGGGGAGGAGAGGAGGGATGAGAAGAGGAAGGGAGGGGGGAGGGGGGGCGGCAGGAGGGGTGAAGACACCTGAAGGAAGAGATCAGCTGCCTCTGCGTACTGATGGCCATTGAACCAGGCGAGTCCGAACTCGAACAAGGTCGCGACATGAACGTCTTGGGCCTTGAGGACTTCAGCAGAGGTCACCTCAACAAGCCACTTACCTCCTCTTTGAATCTCCTCCAGTAGACCCTCGACGTCGTCCAGTTGCGCTCCCTGGCATGATGGAGGGCAGCCTGATAATTGTCCTTCACCCGAGGAAGCACTTCCTCCATCTTTGATGCTGACAGATCTCCTCCTCCTCCTCCTCCCCCCCCCCCAACGTCGTCAACGAGCCCCACCAGCTTCCATCCTCGCACACCCTTGTCTTCTCCTCGTGCCACCTCGTCCCCAGCTCGTTGCAACACCGACGTCACATCTGTCTCCTCCTGCTTCCTTGCCCCCTCCCCAGCCTCCGCTGCCTGCTCCACAGCACGAGCCCCTGAGTACTGGGAGGGGCTGGAGAACGTCTGTTTCTTTCTCGCAGTCACGCGGTGATGTCGGAGGACGGAGAGCACGCGGGTCGTCAGTCCCGTAGGCATCCAGGAGCCGGAGAGGTTCCCCCACTCGTTCCCCTCCACCTCCAGCACCACCTGCACCTCTCGGTGGAAGGAGGAAGGGAGTTCCAGCGCCTTGAAGCATTCTGCTCCCGTGGGGTACCGCCCAGCGTAGTCGAGCACGACATGGTCAAAGGAGCGGACGAGGTCTCGCAGCCGCGAGCACAAGGGCATGTTCTTTTCATCGTAGTAGTCCAGCCCCATGAAGACGAAGCAATCCTCGTCTCCTCTCATCTCGTAGTCCTCCAGCAGCATCGGCACATGCCTCACCCGACATGGCGCGCCGTTGAGCTCATCGGTGGCCAGAGGCTTCACGTACGGGTCGACTGTCGTCACGGACTCGTGTCGTGAGAAGAGGAAACTGCTGATGGGGGTCCGGTACCCTCCAACCTCGAGGATGTTTTTGCAGGACCGAAGATGGTAGGCCGCTAACACGTACCGCGACTTGAACGCATCGTGCTCGTAGAAGTTGTGCTCCAACTTGTGCATCGTCGCCCAGTCAGCAACGAGGTTTGAGCAGTTCTTCCCGTACCATCCCCCATCGCACAAGCACATCCCTCGCTCAAGGCAGCGACCGTGACCGTTGCATCTCAACGAGCAATCGGCATCTGGTTCATTGGCGTTGAGGGAGGGCAAGAGCAGCAGAAGAAGGCAGCTGCTCAACAGAGAATATCCTAGGACTCTGAGCCTGCTGAGTGAGCGTCTTCTGCCGCATGCCTTGCAGCTCATCTCGGTGATTGGCGACAACGTAAAGCTTCGATCTTCGAGACTTATAGCTCTCTTGTCCTACCTATCTGCCAGTATACCAGTGAACTGATCTAGTCGTGTACTGATCTAGCAGTCTACTAGTCTACTTAGCACTAGTCTACTAGTACACTGATCTACTCGTCTACTAGTCTACTGATCTACTCGTCTACTCGTCTACTGATCTACTCGTCTACTAGTCTACTGATCTACTGATCTACTGATCTACTGATCTACTCATCTACTCATCTACTAGTCTACTGATCTACTCGTCTACTCGTCTACTTATCTTCCTTCTCCCTCTCTCCCTCTCTTGCTCCATGCTCCGCTATCGTAACGCCATGGGATTTATCTCATTGCTGCCCTTCGAAAAAGCATGATCGCACTAATAGCTCTGTTGCTGTCTTTTATAGGAATAACCAAATTTCAGCTAGGCAGGCTCGTCTCGGTCACGGATAGGGCCTCCAAATATCAGCCTGAGTGAAGGAACTGAGAGCGGCAGGTACAGGAGGCAGCAGGGAGGAGGAGGAGAGGTAGCAGGAGGAGCACGAGGAGCACGAGGAGGAGGAGAAGGAAGCATGCTGTAGATATATAGCATGGCTTCTGATGCCGCATCCTCGTCGTCCAGTCAGGGGCTGACCTTCATGAAGGGAGTCGATGTGGTCGAGGATGAGGGCGAGGTTCGATGGGTGGTGAAGTCGGAAGCTGACGACATGGCGGTCATCTTGGCTTACATCTCCAAGAAGCTGCTCCATTCCAGCAAGCTCGCCTCCTTCACCACCTCCCAGCTGTCTTCCAAGCACTGCCCCTTGCTTACTGCCAACAGCAGCTCGCCCGTGACTTGTCTGACAGCTTTGGACGTCAGCGGCAGCCCGGTAGGGGATCGAGGGATCCAGACCCTCGGGCTCTCCTGCATGCCGAGCCTGAGGACGCTACACCTGCAGCAGACGGGGCTGGGGGACGAGGGCGCTCAGTTCCTCCAGCAGACCTCAAGCTGTCTCACCGACCTGACGTCCCTGGACGTGCGGAGGAACCCGAGCATCTCCCCTACCGCCCTCCTATCCTTATCGCAGTCCCTGCAGGTCTGCTGGCCGAAGCTGCTGGAGCTCAACGGGCTGAGGCTGGCGGAGGACGGAGGGGACGTGACGTGCTGTGAAGGGGACGTGACGTGCTGGGACATCCTCGCGATGGAGCAGAGTCAGCTGCTCGTCGCCTTCGCGGGGATGAGGGCCAAGGCAGCTGGGAAGCCTGTTGGGGTCAAGCTGAAGCTGAAGGGGGTGGTCGACTGCTCGTTTCTGACGTCGCTGCATGCTCTAGACGTAAGCTCCAACAACCTGCGCGACTTGTGTTGGCTGTCCAGCTTGCACTCTCTGCGCGTGCTGAACATCTCGGACAACAGCATCACCGACAACAAGTCGCTCTCGCTTGTCACTCTCCGCAACTTCACCTCCCTGCTGGATCTCAACCTGTCAAAGAATCACATCGGAGCGACTGGCAGTCGCCTGCTGCTGGAGACTCTGCCCTTCATGAGGGACCTGCGCAAACTTGATCTCAGTCACAACGACATTGAGCATGAAGGACTCGCTTGTCTTGTCGCCGGCTTCAGCTGGATCTCAGGCCTGGAGAGCCTGTCTCTCGGCTCCAACTCGCTGGGCTGCGACGCAGCTGAAGAGCTCGCAGCTCATCTTCACAAGCTCTCGAGATTGACCGAGCTGGACCTGAGCGACAACGAGCTCACGAGCGACTGCTGCGACTCCTTCGCCCGAGGCGTCACGAGTTTGCGCGAGCTACGAGCGCTGGGGTTGAGGGGAAACAAGATCGAGAGCGAGGGAGCGTCCAAGCTCTCCGCCTGCTTCTCAGGTCTGACGGGCTTGACGTCGCTGGACCTGGGGGGCAACTCCATCACAGCATCATGGGAGCACAAGAGCGTCGGCCGCTTCTCGCTCCTCGTCGGCCTGCAGATGCTCTCACTGGGGCAAAACCACCTGAGAGAGCATCTGATCCGACCTCTCTTCCACTCCCTCTCCTCCCTCTCCTCCCTCCGCTCCTTGAACCTCAGCAGCAACGGCATCTCCTCCTCCGCTGTCAAGCTCGTCCTCGACCTCGTCTGCGCCGCGACCTCGATCAAGTCGCTCAACATCGGAGGGAACAGCATGACTGAAGGCTGCGACGGGGAAGAGATCGCGAGGTCACTTGCGGGGCTGAGGAGTCTGACGGTGCTCGACGTGAGTTTCTTGTCGCAGTGGAGCAGCCAAGCTCGACCCATCTGTGCTGCCATCATGGAACTGAGCAACCTCACCGACCTCAACGTCTCCAGCAACTGCTTGAGCGGGTGGGAGGCGGCAGGGAGCATGCGTCTGACCAACTTGACGAGTCTGCGGTGCAGCCAAGTGAACTTGACCTGCAGCAACATCGACCGCGTGCTGGTCTCTATCGGAGCCATGCGTCTCCTCCGAGACTTGGACGTGAGTCGCAATGCTCTCCAGCCCTCGGGCGCGTCGCTCCTTGCTGAGTCTCTCGCGCACCTGGTGACGTTGACACGGCTCGACGTGTCAGCCAACAGCATCAGAGACGAGGGCGCCGTCGCTCTCTGCCATGGCTTGACTTGCGCCTCCCGACTTGACAGGCTGACCCTCGACGACAACGAGATCGCACGTGCCGGAGCTCTTGAGCTGGTCAGCTCAGCTCACCTCTGGCCTCGGCTGCGATGCTTGAGCCTGCGCGGCAACGAGATTTGCTCTCCTGTCCTTCAAACCGTCGCGAGCTCCTTCCCCGAGTACGTCAAGATCATCGAGTGAGGGACGTCCCTCACCTGGTTTCCGCAACGCGGATAAACATGGGATGACTTCCAAGCATGAATCATGGAATAATATTTCGAACAGAAACAATGAATTGCAGACTTGCATGATTACAAGTATGATATGAATATTCATTAGAAACAATTACGAATGAGCGATGGTGTAACAAGCAAGGCAAAGGATCTCATAAGACCACTTCCGCAATCTCCATGTCTTGTTTCATCTGCGTTGACTTCACCTCGTTTTGTCTCTCTTGTCATCGCTCTTGAAATCAACCCGATCACACGATCGGGTACGAAGCAGCGTCTCCAACCCCGCATGTGCTGACGCCAGCCTCCTTCTCCAGTCTCACATAGCCGTCCTGTTGGAGCACTCAGTGCTTGTAAGTTCTCCTCTCCTCTCCCCTTCTCCTCACCTCTCCCCAGTCGTCTCCCCAGGAGTTCTTGAGCAGCCAGAAGTGTTTCTGCCGGATGTGGTCGTATCCGTACCTGAGGCATCGAGCTCAGTCACCGCCTGTCTGGCGGGAGCAGCAGGCGCTTCCTACCCCACGAGCAGCAGGCCATGGTCGATTCTGCTCTCGCACTTGGAGCTAGAGATTATTCCTCCGTGATAGAACCTGAACGCCATCTGCTGAGCCTGCACAGCCACCGCCACTGGTTGACGCACGACCGCCTGCTCAAGGCCGAGCATGTCGCGGTAGTCGATGTCACAGTAGTCTCGTATCGTCACGTTCCTGGCGAGCTTGACCCGAGTCTTGCACGTGCCATCATCTCTGACTGCGTCAGGAGCAGCTGGTCGCCTGCTGGGGCTGACGAGGTCAAGGAGGGAGTCCTTGACGGCGACGAGGAGGCGGAGCACGAGCTTGAGGTAGAAGAGATCGAAGATCCAACTCGCCGAGCCCTTGTCGTCCCAGTGGTACTTGTAGGGGAGCTTGCCGGAGATGTAGGGAAAGGTCTCAGCTGATGCGATGCCGCCATTGCGAATGATCCACTCGAAGGAGTACTGCATCACTCCCCCGTCGCACCCTGAGTTCAGCATCATCTTGTCGCACTGCACCAGCTCCTCGACTGACAGCGGCAGCAGCTTGTTCCCTGCTGCCGCCCACGCGCCCTCCACTGCTCCCACAGTAGCGAAGGACCAGCAGCTGCCGCAATGACCCTGAAGGAAGGGCAAGGGTCAGTTGGGAGAAGAGCAGGATCAGGGACGGTGGGGGAGGAGCCTGACCTGGTCCTGCACTGCTGTCACCGCTCCCTTCTCCCTGTGATCGACGATGAAGTCAACCTTGCCGGTCTTCCACACGTGACTCGGCAGCGAGACCTTGCGGTGAGGACAAGCGTTGCCATACCTCCTCAACCACTTGGACAAGCTACCCATGCACTTGAAGCCCAGCAGACCCTGGTGCCCTACTTCAGTTCTTGCTCAACCAGCAAAGACAACAAGGCTGCCTGCTCGAACTCCTTGTCGGAGATGTCGGCAAACTTGTTTGCGCTGAGTCGAAAGCTCTCGAGGCGACTCTTGTACCTCGAGTTGTGCTCTTTGATCTTGATGTAGTTGCGCCGGAAGATGTCGAACCTCTTTCGATCTTCTTCAGGTGCATATGTGCGGTTGTACTTCTTCTTCCACCGAGAAAAGATTCTCTCATGCTTCTCCTCCATCTGCGAGCCATGGTCTGACGCCTTCATCTGCATCTCAGCCGGCAGCCAAAGTCTCAGCACGTCCACGGAGAAAACGAGCAAGGCAAAGCTCAGAGCAAGGAGCACCATCAAGGCGAACACGACCGGCCCGTAGAGCGTTGCCTGAAGCATCAATCTGCGCTTGCATTGTTTCCTTCTTGCCATTCTGCTCGTAGAAGGAACTCGACGTTCAAGTCGTTGGGAAGCCAAGGAGATGCGAGGAACGGAACAAGTTCGAAAAGTCCTGCAAGTCCGAATGCTCAGAGCCGCCGCCCAGAACCTCTTGCAGGGATCTCAGAGGCTGCTGAAAGGTCCTTAGCGAAGTTTCAGAGGAAGTGTAGGGGAGCAGGAGCGGCAGCAGGAGCGGGAGCGGGAGGGGCACGGGAGGGGGAGGGGGCGGAGCGATGGAGCATGGGGGTTTGTGTCATTTACGAATAAAAAAAAACAAAAAAAACCTTCTCTGGTAGGATTGACATTATTGCCCCTCATCCCCATACAATCTCCTCATCGCCCTCATCTCCCTCCTTCATCGCCCTCATCTCCCTCCTTCATCGCCCTCATCTCTCTTCCTCATCGCCCTCGCAATCAAACAAACGCTGAGGCGGACCCGAGAAGACTACGTTAGATTTACTTAATTCAGTTTAGCAGTACTGTCACGTGCAGTTGCCATGGCGGGGAAGTCGAAGCAGGGGAAGGAGGGGGGAGGAGGAGGAAGCAAAGGAGACGAAGGTGAGACCATGTCATGCGATGCTCCTTCACCAATACTCCTCTCTCTCCCCTTCTACCTTGGGAAACTGGACCTGAGCTGGATTGCAGGAGCTCTGAATGCGTTTCTCAAGTGGGCGAGCGACGAGGAGGCTGTGAGGAAGTGGCAGCGGGAGATCAATCTCAGGAAGATTCTTGGCACCAGGCCGAACGTGATGTCCAAGGACAAACGCGAGAGAGGAAATGGAGTATTAGCACGGTTGACCAACTTCTTTCCTGACGAGGTATGTTTGGTGGGGCAGCACCTCTACCTCTGATGTTGTCAAGGTGGCGGAAGGAGCAGCCATCATCGCCTCCAGGGTGCCCGAGGAGAGGTGGAACATGCTCGAATGGAACGGAGATGCCTCGCAGCCCTGCTTGGATGGAATATCTGCAGCCCATCGCTTCGGAGCTGTGGTGGACCCTAGCGACCTAGTCGGAGTCTCAGAGTTGTATCATGTACTCTCCGGTCTGATGCCGCCATGTGAGAACACCTGCACGTCTCAACGTTTGCCTCCTTGTCTTTCTCTCTGCCTGCAAGCATGCTTGCTTGCATGTTCTCCTTGCTGTCTTTTCCCTCTCCCCTCGGACCTCACAGTTGCTGACTTTGCCTCTCAGCGGCTGACAGGTACAGCGCTTTCCATCTGGGTAGGCTGCAGCAGGGAGACTTTGTTGGATCGCAAGACGATGCTGCTTATTGCGTCGTTGATCGATCAGTCAACGACCCCTCTAGGTGTTACACTACCTCCTCCCTCCCCCACCAACACAACACAACACCAACACCTCCTCCCCTGTTTTTTCTTTTCCGTTTCTTCTTCTCTTTTATCTACCTGTACATGCTTCTTATCGCTTGATGTACAGGTCTGGCATCGCCAAGTGCTCCAGGGACATCGCAGTCATGCTGTTCCTCGGCAAGGTGCTTTCTCCCTTCCTCCACCTCCACGAGCTCAAACCTGCGCAGGACCAGGGCAAAGGAGGAAGCATCTTCAGAGACCTCTACCACGAGATGCCAACCGGTTGGCCTTCTCCTCTACCACCTCCTCCTCTACCTCCCGTCTTGCACTGTCCCTCTCCTCTTCTTTCTGTCTTCCTCCTCCTTCCTCTCTTCTCTCTGACTGATAATGGTTTCAGCTGCGGACAGTTACGAGCTTGAGTTTAACTCGCTGATGGCCTTCCACGTTCCTCGGGAGTACGAACTTACCATCAATCAGAGTGATTCGACTTGTTTCTTCCTCTTCGGGTGGTTCCTCAAGGTAGTCAGTTTCCCCTCTCTCCTCCTCTCTCTTCCCTCCCAACACTCTCCCCATCCCTGCTCCTGCTCATGCCGGAGATCCTCCTTCACTTTGTTGGTTTCATCGTCCTGCTTCGTTGCCCATCTGGATGTTGTCTATCTCACCTCCTCCGGCAGGAAGGAGAGCTCTACGAGCTTGAAGAGAGCAAGGGACCAGCTGAGTGCCAGCAGGGGCTGAGCAAGAAGAAGAGCGTGAAGCTGACGGCCAAGAGGAAGTTAAGGGTCAAGGCGAGTGCAGCTCCTCCTCCCGCTGCGAGAGTGACGCGAGAGGCAGGCAAGGAGGGAGGAGGCATATCAGGTGCCCGCAGAGTTCCTGAAGCTGGCGGAGGAGCGAGAGGAAGCGAGGAGAACCAAAGACTTCGAACGGGCCGATCGCATCCGAGAGATCTGCAGCAGCGCCGGACGTGAGGAGGAGGATGGGGAGGAGGAGGAGAAAGAGGACGAAGAGAGAGTTTTTGGGGGGGGCCAGAGGGAAGGCGGGGGAGAGGATGCGCACAGTGTGAGAGGCTGACGTGCTGCTGCTGCAGTGAAGTTCAACGCGGGGGGGAGGCTGATGAAGAGCAAGGACTTTAGTGAGAAGCTCGTGAAGGAGGCGCTGCTCAAGCTGCAGGAGAAGAGCAACCCTTCGTCCTCGTCCTCCTCTGCCTCAAAGTCAAGAAAGAAGGAGAGCAAGACTGAACGTATCCTGCGGCAGGCGCGAGAGGCTCAGGAAGCAGAGGGGAAGAAGGAGGAGAGGAAAGGAGAGGAGGAAGAGAAGAAACCGAAAGAGCACAAGAAGGCAAAGGAAGAGCAGAGCTCCGAGGTTTGTCGCCCTCCTGTGACGGTCTTGACTAACTCGCTAGCAGCTCGCTGGCAGCTCAACACCAGCAGGAGAGAAGGAAGAGAAGAAGGCGAGCAAACGAGAGGATGTGAAACGAGCAGGGAAGAGAAAAGCAGAGGAGGAGGAGGAGGAGAAGGCCATGGCAGCAGCAGCAGTCAAGAAAGAGCCCAAGAAGCCCAAGAAGCCCAAGAAGCCCAAGGACGAGGAGGAGGAGAAGGAGGCAGAGGAGGGGGCTGCGGTAAAGGAGGTGAGCAGGAGGGAGCGGAACCAGCAGAAGAAGCTTGACATGATCAAGAGGAGAGGATGGTTGGGGGTGAAACAGTGAAACTCTCCTATACTCCTTGTAAATAGTTAAACTCCCTCCCATCAGACTCCTCCCTTCCTCTCCTCTCCCCCCCCCCCTCCTCCTTTCTTCACTGTTCAATTCCTTCGCCCTCCCGCCCGCTCTCAACACTCATCCCTCCTCCCCCTTCCAATCCTCGTCCTCGTCCTCTCCTTTCCCCCTCCTTCCTCCCATCATTCTCTTCCTCTCCCCTCTCTCTGTCCTCCTCGCCTCCCCGGTCCTCCTTTTGTTTCGCTCTTCATTGATCATTGTACACCACGAGCTTGCCGTTGGCACTTGACGTCACCAGCTGAGGAAATAAAGGATTGAAGGCCTGCCGCAAAGTCATCCTCGTCCTCGTCCTCGTCCTCGTCCTCGTCCTCGTCCTCGTCCTCGTCCTCGTCCTCGTCCTCGTCCTCGTCCTCGTCCTCGTCCTCGTCCTCGTCCTCGTCCTCGTCCTCGTCCTCGTCCTCGTCCGCCTCCCTGTCTCCATCCGCCTTTCTCCCCCCTCCTTCCTCTTCCTCTTCCTCTCCAGTCCTCCGCTCTCACCACATCTGTCACGACGTCCGTCTGACCCTCCAGTTTCTGCTGGTAAGACCCGGTCCTGCATGCTCGTTATGTCGGTCAAAGGCAGGAGGTGGGAGGACCCCGCGCGCAGGTCGAAGAGATACGCGAGTTTATCTTCTGACCCCGTCGCGATGAATCTGAAAAGGAAGAGGAGGCTCAGAGGGGGAGCAGGAGACAGAGGGAGGCGGGCGGGGCGGGGTGTAAGGGGGGAGAGAGAAAAAGTATGAGGAGGAGGCGGAGAGGAGGAGGAGGAGAAGGGTGGTGGTAGTGGTGGTGGTGAAGGAGGAGGAGGAGGTGAAAGAGGAGGAGGAGGGAGAGATCGTGGGGAAAAGAGTGCAAGAACCTTAGGCAGGGGCTGAAGGCAACTCCTACAGGATGGACGCGACAAGTATGACCTGTGAACTTGGCCACCTGAAAGAGAAGCTGAGAGGAGGCGGCGGGAATGGGAATGGGGGGATGGTGGTGGGTGCAGGGAGCGGTAGGTGAGTGAGGGTGGTAGGAGGTGATGGGGCGAGCGAGCGAGGAAGAGGAGAACGAAAAAGAGGAGGGAGGGGAGAACGAGAACGAGAACGAGAACGAGGAGGACGAGGGGGAGAAGGACGAGGAGGAGAAGGAGAAGGAGGAGGAGAAGGAGAAGTAGGAGGAGAAGGAGAAAGAGGATAAGGAGGCTCACGCGAGAGGAGCTCCGAAGGTCCCAGAGAGAAACAAAACCATCGGTGGATGTGGAGAGAAACAAGTCGTAAGACTCTGAGAAGATACACGTAAAGGTAAGAAGGGTGGTGATGGAGAGCAGGGCAACGGAGACCAAAAGAAGAGGGGGGAAGAGGGAAAGGAGAGTATAGGAGTTGAGACGAGGAGAGAGAGAGAAACGGGAGGAGGAGGAGGAGATAGAGGAGGAGATAGAGGAGGAGATAGAGGAGCTCAGGGATGCACCCGCGGGATGAGAAACGAAGGGAGAAGCTTCATTGATGACGAGAGAATGAATGAGACGATCGTGAGCCTGCCGTGTATGATTCACATAAACCCCATCCTGCTGCTGCTGCTGCTCCTCCTCCTCCTCCTCCTCTCTCCCTCTCCTTTGCCCCCATCACCTGCTGATAAGTTTGGATCACTTTTCCTGCGTTGGCGTCCCAGACCTGCTGGCAGGTGAGCAGAAGCAGCTGTAAAGGATAGGAGGAAAACTTCGATGTGGCGATTAGACCCCGAGGAGAGGACGATGTGCGAGAGGAAGCTGGGAAAGGGTTAGAGGAAAGACGAGAAGGAAGACGTCTGGGGGGTGGGAGAAGAGAAGGATGGAGGGGCACTAGTGGGCAGAAGAGCAGCAGCAGCAGCAGCAGCAGCAGCAGCAGCAGCAGCAGCAGCAGCAGCAGCAGCAGCAGCAGCAGCAGCAGCAGCAGCAGCATTGGGGGGCGGGGGGTTGAGGGCAGGCATGGAAAGACGGACTCACCTGTTAACACAAGCTATAGAGACAATATTCTGCGCGGATGAGTCGAAGGAAGCCACAAGCTTCGATCTGACATGAAAGTCAAGAAAGGGGAAGGAGGGAGAGGAGGACAGTGAGGAGAGGATGGAGGAGGAGGGAAAGAAGGCAGGGAAAGGCCATATCACTTGTGACTCTTCTTCAGTCGGTCGATATCATCCTTCTCGTCCGCTGTGTGCAGCTTCCACTGCCAGCTGGTCAGCTCCCCCCCCCCCTCCCTCCCCTCACTGCTCCCTTGCTCCCTTGCTCCTTCCCCCTACCTCGAAGAAGAGCAGCTGCTTGCCGACGGCGAGGACGAGGAACCGGTCCATGTAGAAGAATCTCGCCTCCTTCACCTGCTCTCCTTCACTCCCTTCCCGCCGTAAGAGTCATTCACCTCTGAGCAGAAGGTCTGCGGCGGTTCGAGGGAAGACGTCTTGCTGGTCTTGCTCGAGCTCGAGAATCTGTTGAGAAGGAGGAGAGTCTCGCCCTTCCCCTTGCCCGACCAGAGCCTGCGCAGCTGTGACCTCTCCTCGCCTCCTCCCCCTTTGCCTCCCTCACCTTGCGCTCTTGTCTGCCGAGGCCGAGAGGAGAAAGTTACTGTCCCTGCTCCTGCACAGCCCGTGAACGTCGAGGGGGGACGTGGAGGCGGGATGGAAGAGAAGAAAGGAGGGGAGGAAGGGAAAGGCGGGGAAGAGAGAGGACGAGCAAGGAGGATCACTCTTCACGGAGGAAAAGAGGAGGACAAGGGAGAGGAGGGGAGTCGGCGAGGAAGGTGTCGGTGCTTGTTTGGAAGTGACTGGGGTGGAGGAAGGAGGGAGGACCAGGCTATCGAGTTGACGCTTCCTGTATGGCCCGTGAGGAACGAGGCCTCCCCGGAGTACTTTTTGAGCGGGGTGCGGGCCAGAGCAATCTGAGGGAGGTGAGCACAAGCATCGACTAGTCGCCTCCTCTGACCGTGTTGTCCGACGAACAGCTCGCTACCCGCGAAGCGTCAGGAGAAAATTCCACGCGCCGACTGTAAGAGGAAGATAAGAAGAAGAGAGCGACAAAGACGACGGAAGGAGAGGAAGAGCTCAAGGCACGAGGAGAGGAGGCAGATTGGAGGGGGAGGAGAGGGATCGGGACAAGAACAGAAGGAGGACGAGACATGAGCGCGGAGTGCATGGAGGCTTCGATCGGCTGCCGTCGACATGGAGGCCCCGAGTCTGAAGGATAGGACTTGATAAGCGTAGCTGGACCTTTGCTGGGCTTTTCCTTGGACGGCTTGGACGGCTGGGGAAACAAGTCAGCGCCCTACTTGTCACCGTTGACAAGGTTGACCACTTTGACACCCTTGGCCAGGCCCCCACCGTAACCGCTGGACTTGATGGTGTTCTTGAAGGTGACGGGCTGCAAGTGAGATGATCAGAAGACAAGAAGGGAAGACTTGGAAGGGAGAGGAATTCGTGACGTCGATGGTTGTGGTGATGATGGTGGTGGTGATGTTGGTGATGATGATGGTGGTGGTGGTAATGGTAATGATGAAGAGCAGGTGCAAAAGCAGGATGATAACGACACCGACAATGACATTAGAGGCCATGTTGATGATGCATAGGGTGGGGACGAGAGACGTTGGGAAGGGAGGACCATCAACCTGATCTTGAGTGACTCCCGACGATCGTTTGATGCCCTCGAGCGTTTCCCTCTTGCGAGTCTGCGGGGCCTTGCAGGAAGGCTTGCTCTCGCTCTTGCTCGAAAGGAACGAGGACTCTGACGGGGGCCCGGCCGGGAAGACGGAAGCGAAACTTTCTGAGCCGGAGAAGGCTGCCTGAGGGAGAGGTTCCCTTCCTCGCTGTCGGCTCAAGGGGTCTCCATCCTCCTCTTCCTCTCCTCGGGAGAGATCCACGTGCAGGATCGCGATGCTGGGGGTGAAGGCGCCGCTCAAGACAACTTGCAGATCGCGAGGATCGAGCAGATGGCTGCTCTCCATCGCAGCATGAGCGACCACACCAAAGTCAACGGACATGCTGAGGGCGTTGCGATTGCCCGGCTCGTTCTGGTCGAACTGAGAGTGGAAGAAGATGGAGGAGCAGAGCTCCATCGCGCTCAAGTTCAGCTCTATCAGCGCGTGACTCGTGGCGATGATCAAGGACGGAGCTTTCCTCTTCGCTTCCTTCCACTCGTTCGAGCTCGTCCTCTCCCCCCCTGCAGCGCTCAGCCGGATCACTTCGTTACCCGCCCTCATGCTGTTGTCAACAGTCTCCCTCCTCCTCGCCAGGAAAATCATGCTGATGGGCGAGCACTCAATCGCAACCCCCGTCATCGGCCCCGCGTCTTCACACAGCTCCTCCATGCTATCGAAGGCTTTCTTCCAGGAGGGAACGGCTGAGATTACTTTCTCGCCCTCCTCACTCCCTGTGGCAGTGTCGGCCGCCTGCTTCCTCCATGGTTTCTCCTCTAGCCCCATCATGGAGTTGACGTCAATCACCAGCAGCTGCCTGAAGTCAGCGGAGTCGAAGAGTCGAACTTTCCCGTCCGACGATCCGATGGCAAACCTGGTCCCAAACGTCTCGACAGCCTGAAGGTTCAGATAAGGTGAGGTGAAACACAGCTAGCGCAGGGGGAGGCAGCACCAGAGATACGAGCGAGGAGGAGCAGAGGATTGCAGACGAGTACAGGACAAGCCCTGCTTGAATGTCGAAGGCAAGAAAGCGTCGGTCTTCAGCTACAGTGACGACCACGTCAGGACGATTCGGCAGGAAGGAGGCAGCGATCACTGAAGCTTCGTGTCCTTCCAGGCGGGCTACCACTCTCCCGCTCGAGCAGGATACAACTCTTGCTGCCTGTCCTGCACACACGACCAGCCGCTCAGAGGATGGGTCGAGCTCCATGTGCTGCGGTGGCGAGTCGAAGTACACTTGCAGGCACCTAGACCGATCTTCCTTCTCCTTGATCAACGACTCGAACCCGTCCTCAACCGTCCACTCCACCAGCGCTTCAGCTGAAGCCGAGTACAGCAAGAGGGGCTCTCTCGTGTTGAAGCAGAGCGCAGAAACAGGAGAGCTGTGCTTACCTGCCAGCTGCCTCGCACTTTGCGTGGTTCTGTTCCATAGATGAATCAGACCTCGTCTTCTATCAGGCAGCGCGATGAAGTTGTTGTGCAGCGCGCAGCATGAAGAGGAGGCCACTTGGGCAGCTTCTTCCACCGGCTCCAACCTGCATCTCTGACGACTCCCCGTTCTAGCGTCCTGCATTTCACCCGCAAGCTGAAGAAATCAGAAGCCGGGATGCATGCGAGTTGGTGAGTTAATGAGGCGAGGAGCCAGGTAGAGAAGGAGGAGCAAGTAGAGGAGAACAGGAAGGAGATGGAGGAGGGAGAGGTGGTGGTTGAGGAGGAGGAGACTTGCTCGACATCAGCGCGGGAAACATAGAATTTGCATCGCAACACATGGATTCGAACAGTTACGTTCCAGTTACATAATCCTACACGCCTCCAATGGGCCGCTGGGCCGCTGGCGCCGGGCCCGCCGGCGGGCCGGCCCGGCCGCGATGCGGCCCGGGTGCGTTCAAATTTGACTCGAGTCACTGAGAGTCGGGATGGCAACTCCCAGTCCGGTCCGGGTCACTGGCCGGCAGGCTGACTAGGCCCGGCCGGCTACGTCTCCTTGACCCGGGGCAGTCGTAGCACCTGAACTCACAGTCAAACTTTTAGACACGGGACTCAAGTAAAACGATGCTTTTAAAGTTGTGGGGTTGTAAATTACCAGTACAAAACCAGTGCTGACTCCGTAGAAATGTAAATTCTAGTACAGATCTTTTAAATTATTAGAGTACAGATCTCGCAAGTGATTCACTAATAGTTTTAAAAACGAGTTAACCCGACTCGATCACACCCCCGGCCTTCCGCCACCCCGATCCTGCATGTTTGAACTCTGACCGTGTCAAGATTGGGAACCCCCACCCCCTCTAAGTCTATCTGAAACTACGGTAGTACCGGCTCTCAGTGATCTGCAGCGATCCGGCAGGTCTAGGGGTAGTCCGCCGCATGGTGGCTGGACGTAGATTTTTAAAAGCCTTTCTCTCTACATGGATGGTAGGGTGGTGTTCGGACCGGTATATTGGACTGAAGAATGTTATCTTGAGGACCGAAGATAAGATTCTCTCGTGGGGGTGGGTACCCCTTTCCGCCGATTTGACCCCTACTGTCCTCCATCGCAAGGACCCACCCCCAGGTCTAAAGAGGGTCGTGATCTCGTTAAAACTAGAAAAAATTGGTCCATTATAATTACTATATTGAATCAGTACTCCGTCTTGCAATATAGTTTTAGTTTATAACAGATATAGCAGTTCTACTCAATGGGGCGGATGATGGGATGGATTCAATGCGGGAAGTGAGGGGCACTGGGAGGAGAGGGAAGCACCTGGTAGAGGATGAGAGAAGGATCCTCCTCTGCAGGGAGACCGTCTTCGGGTGCTACGGGAGGTGCCCTCTTGCTGCACTAACATCATCGCCGATGGATAGTCGGGGACAGTGAAGCGTGATGGCAATTTCCCAATGATTTCTGGATGAGGATCCAAAGGAATCTCCACGACTGACGGATTTCTGTGACTGCATTAGGATTAAGTATTGGAGAGATCTGAACGTCTTTCAAGGATAGCTGCCATGAAGGCTGCACAGCTTCTCCTCTTGGGATTTTGGGTCTTGAATCTGAAATATGCATCATGCACCACATGCAGTGCCTTGACAGAAATAGATAAAGCTGACGACATGGTGAATTACGTTGCCAACAATCCGTACACCATTGGATACCAGGGGTATGACAGCCAAGTTCAGTTCGAGGCAGTCAACAACAATGTCATGCTCCCCCTGGTGCTGAATCGAGACAAACAATCTGTGAGTAAGAGGAGTGGAGGTTGGGGTCAAATGACAAGGAGGTCTTACTTGATTTAAGGTCACCTACGCCATCCATTCTTTGAGTTCCACCATCCTGCACAAAGCTGCAGTCTTTGAGAAACCTTCCCTGGGAGAATGTCCAGAGGTTGGAATCTGTACTTCCCTCCTTACCGACAAGTATGAGAGCTGGCCGATATCGACCCTGATGTAAACCTGCTTAAATTCACTTGTCACATTCATTTCTTTATCATCTGAGCTGTTCAAACCCAGGTACGTGCTTGTTCCGACGAAAACAATTACTCCGGATCCGCAAGTCTGCAGAAATATGCGCGGGCTGTACGAGTTTCTAGTGTGGATCCTAACCACTGTTGGTGGAAATACAGTGAGTTGAGCTTCTTCTAACACATATGCCGCTATTCCTCACAAGAAAGTGACTTTTTGGTCCTTGCAGGTTGCAAATTCGAACTACTTTGCAAGTATACCCGATCAGCTGAAACCATATGTAGGTTCGATCGCTGTCCATGTCCTGTTGCTGATTTGAGTATGTCAGGTGCTGCAGGAGTTGGAGATGATGACTTGTAACGGCGCTCCAGTTGCTAACTTGACCTCCATCGGGAAACAGGAAGGCTTCACCATCCAGGGGGAAGGGAGCTCGTTGGGCCAAGGGCTCTATGACGCCATGATCGCCGCGTATCAAGGGGATACTGAAAACTTGTACAAGCCCTTGAACATCTTGTACCAAGGTTCAGGCTCAGGTGAGAGAACTTCAGAAGCACTGCGGGTCTCTATGAACAAACATGACATGCATGAAGGCAATGGGCTGAGAGCGATGAACAACTGCTCCATCGATTTTGCAACAGTGGATGCGATAACCTTTGATGGAGAGCCCATAGCCCACACCTTCTCCCCGTGCGCCAGGTATTGCTACGACATTCATGCGACAGGTCTGTGCTCTGATGGGCGAACTTGTGGTTGCAGAGACAGGAGAGTGAGAGTGATCCCCTTGTTCACCACGTTCATCACCTTCTTTGTGAACTTGCGTTCGGCCAACGTGACCTCCCTCTACCTATCCGGCGATGTTCTCAACGGAATCTTCACGGGAAACATCACATGCTGGAATGACAAGAGAATTCAGCGGGACAATCCTGGTGTGGCGTTGCCAGGCAGGCCGGTGCTGCGAGTTGTCAGAAAGGGGTCGTGCGGGAGCTCCTTTATGCTGTCTAACGCCCTGCCTTACTTTGCCAACCAAACGTGCCAGCAGCACATCCTCCATTGCTCCGACAGGCCTCCATGGCCTGCTCCTACCATGGACCCGAACTCGTTCTCCAGCCCTTGCCCCTGCACCGATCCTCCTCAAATCTCGTACTCTTTCTGGTCTCAGAAGAACATCCTGGCGATCTCAGTGGGCGGCTTTGCGTGTGTGCTCCTGTTGCTGGGCTTGTGGATCTTCCTCTATGTCAAGCAGCGACAGCAGCGAGCAGACGCCATCTGGGAGATCAGGCGCGACGAGCTGCACATAGCTGAGCCTCCCGACGTGCTGGGGTACGGGGCCTTCGGCCTGGTGGTCAAGGCCAACTACAGGGGTACCAGTGTGGCGGTAAAGCGCGTGCTGCCTGCCTCCTCGAAAGGGAAACGAGACTCTGCATTTGAGTTCTCTAAAGCCCTTCACCCGAGTGCGGAGGAGAACAAGGAAACCCTGGCTAGGAACGACTCAGTGGGGAGCAGACGCAGCAGCAGCAGCAGCAGGCAGCGGAACTCTGGGCTGAGCTCACAGGTGGCACGAATGTCAAGCTCCAAGTCTATCATAGGAACCATGTCTATCCGAGAGAACGTCAGGAAAAGCTTCGGGCTGCTGAGGAGCAGCCTGTACGCCAGACTCCGCAGCGACTTCATTGAGGAGATGCGGACCCTCTCGAAACTTCGACATCCCTGCATCGTTACCCTCATGGGGGCTGTGGTGGCTAAGGAGCAGGAGCCTCTGCTGGTGATGGAGCTCATGGTCTTCGGCTCCTTGTACGACCTCATCCACAACGAGACAGCTCGACTGGAAGGAGAGCTCGTCGTTCCGATCCTCAACGACGTTGCGCAGGGCGTGAAATTCCTCCATGCCGCCACCCCCTTCATCCTCCATGGCGACCTCAAGGCTCAGAACATCCTGGTGGACTCGAGCTTCCGTGGCAAGGTTTCCGACTTCGGCCTCTCCCACAAGGTCCAGGCGAAGAGCTGGACACTTGGCTGGACGACGCAGGTGCAGGGGGTGGGAACGCCTTTCTGGATGGCTCCCGAGCTCCTGAATGGCGAGAAAAACACGATCAAGACTGACACGTTCGCCTTCGGGATCCTCTTGTGGGAGGTTTACAGCCGTCAGGAGCCCTACGATGGAGAGGACCTGCAGACAGTGCTGAAGGAGGTGGCCGACCTGACCCTCGCTGAGCCCAAGAGGCCCAAGATCCCTCCCAACATCCCCAAGCACGCTGTCACTCTGATGGAGGACTGCTGGCACAACGACCCTGCCACTCGCCCGACCTTCAACGAGATTGCAAGGCGAGTGCAGGCCATCGACGAGGACAGCTTCCCTCTCCACCACCTTCACACCAACGGCTCTCCCTTCCACCCCCTCCGAACTAGTTCGAGCAGATCGCAATTTCCAAGTGTAAGCAGCGCCACAAGCTCGACGCTCCTCCTGGATCGAGACCTGCAGGACGGGAGCGAACACCACAGCGACAGCGTGCACAGCCAGCGGTGCAACGCGATCCTCGACGACCTCTTCCCAGCTCACATCGCCAGCGCCTTGCGAGAGGGCAGGAAGGTCGAGCCCGAGCACAAGGAGATGGTCACTGTGTTCTTCGCTGAGATCTATGGATACTCCTCCCTCTCCACGGAGATGTCCACCAGCGCCCTGCTCGATATGCTGCATCGATTCTACGTCGCGCTTGACGCGTACGCGCAGGAGTGCGAGGTCTACAAGCTGGAGACGATCGGGGCGACTTACATGGCCATCACTAACCTGGTGGAGGACCAGGATAGCAGCCATGCGGTCAAGATCGTCAAGTTTGCGATGGGAGCCGTGAGGATAGCGAGCAGCACCTTCATCGACCTCGCTGATCCCTCCAAGGGGGTCGTCCAGATCCAAGTCGGAGTTCACTCGGGGCCCATCGTCGCCAACGTCGTCGGCACCCGGAGGCCCAAGTACACGCTCTTCGGGGACACGGTCAACACAGCCTCGAGGATGGAGTCTCTCTCCTTGCCCGGGGAGATCCAGTGCTCTGTGGTGCTCGCTCGCCCGCCTTGACCTGCTCCAGCTGACTTGTCCGACAGGTGACAGCTGATCTCATCGTCGCTCAAGCGCAGGGCATGCAGCCCGAGGATCTTGACTTCGTGCTGGTGTCACGAGGAGAGATAGCTGTGAAGGGGAAGGGGCAGATGCATACGTTCTGGATCCGGTCGAAGGAGGAACAGGAGGAGGTTACTATCGCAGTGAGTTGTTGAGAGAGGATGGAAGTGACTGAAAGGCAGTCTGTTAACGATGTTGATGATCTTGTGTGATACTTTACTATAAATGTTACGCTCAGTGCTCATACCTGCGGGTAACTTAGTAACCGATTTTTAACTTAACTTGCTTTGAGTGCCGCCGGTGCTGACCGGCCGCACTGCGGCACGCCGCGCAGCCGGGGCCGCGGCCCGTCACCGGCCCGGGCCGAGTCACTTGCCCGGGCCTAGTGACTGGATTTGATGACTGAGAGGCAATTTCGATCCGGCAAAACTCTTTAAATTTTCAATATTTCGTGTTGGAGAGCGGCGCATGGAAGAATCAGCAGCAGACGGAGGAGGAGGAGGAGGAGGAGGAGGAGTTGGGTTCAAGTCGTTCAGGCGGAGCAATGCTGCGATAAGAAGGAAACGAGGCGATGATGAAGGCGCGGAGGAAGGGAAGCGGCAGCAGCCTGACGGCGCTGAAATGCCCAAGGCAGCGGTGGAAGCGAAGGCAGAGAAGAAGACGGCAGTGAAGAAAGCTTCCCTCAGCTTCGATGCTGAGGAGATTGAGGACGATGGCGCATTCATGTCCAAGAAAAAGAAGCAGAAGTCCAAAATGAACGTTGATGTATCCTTCCACTCCAAGGGGGATCGTGACGTAGGAACCGCCATGAGCAGCTACTACAACTCAGGTCAGAGCTACTCGGCCGAAGACATTGCTGAGCTGTCAAAGAATGCCAAGAGTTGGAAAGGAGGTGCTCCTGGATCAAAGAAGAAGGATGGCGAGAGCGACCTGCCGGTTAAGATGAAGGGGTTGACCTGGGATGCTGATGCAAAAGTGGACGACATGGCGGAAGATAATGCAATGGGTGGTGGAGCGGAGGAGCTCAAGATCAACCATGAGATGGGAGGAGCGCCTGGCATCGGAGACATCGCAGCGAGCAGGGGAGAAATCCCCACACAGGACGAGATCGCACGGTTGAAGGCGAGGAGGGAGCAAGCGAGGAAGACGGGAGTGACTGGAGGAGGAGGAGGTCTGTCAAGGGACTTCATCCCGTTGGAAGGATCGCTGGATGAGAAGAAGAATGAGAATTCGAGAGTTGTGCGTGAGAACATTGAGGACGATGAGGATGCGATGGTGCAAGACGACGTCCTCTCTGACGGCAAACGCATTTCCTCGGTCAGTCCGAGAGCGATCATGCGAGGAAGCGTGCGGAGATGGCGCAGGCAGTTGTGATAGACGACGACGATGAGGAGGAGGATGATGAGATGAAGAAGTGGGAGCAGGAGCAGATCATGAAGGGGAGAGGGACGCGAGGAGGAAGAGACGAGGTGAAGCCCAAGGTTGCCAACAAGGAGAACTTGCGGGCAGCGGGAGGAGGGAATCAATTCAAAACTTTCAGAGAAGTGCAGCAGATGCTGAGAGATCAGCTGGGCAGCATGAAGGAGACGCACGAGGAGGACAAGCAGAGGCTGCAGCAGGCGATCCAGCGGGTGAGGTCGACGGAGGAGGCGACGAAGAGCCTGGAAGAGCATGTGAAGTCAGCCAAGGAGCGATACACCTTCTTCCAGGAGATGAGGTGCTATGTGCAGGTACTGCATGCGAGAGGGGCGAGGAAGCAGGGAGAGAGCAGGAGGACCTGGAATAGGGACCCGAAGATGATGCTGAGGAGTGGAGGGTGGAGAGGAGGGCGAGGAGCAGGAGGAGCAGGAGGAGCAGGAGGAGCAGGAGCAGGCGCAAGAGGGAAGGTGACGTGAGCTGCAGGATGTGCTTGAGTGCTTGGACGCGAAGGCGATCATGCTGGAAGAGATGGAGGACGAGATGACGTCAGCGAGGAAGAAACGAGCGCAAACAAGGAGAAGGCGGAGAGGCGAAGACATTCACGACCGTGTTCAAGCAGCTAGAGATCAAGTTGCAAAGGTGAGAGTGATTTCTCTTGCTCCCTCCTCCCTCCTCCCTCCTCCCTCCTCCCTCCTCCCTCCTCCCTCCTCCCTCCTCCCTCCTCCCTCCCTCCCTCCCTCCCTGCTCCCTGCTCCCTGCTCCCTGCTCCCTGCTCCCTGCTCCCTGCTCCCTCCCTCCCTCCCTCCCTCCCTCCCTCCTCCCTCCTCTCTCCTGCTTCTACAGAGCGGCATACCGTGATGAAGTCTTTCACCTTCTCGCATCGGATCCTGTACCTCTGAGCCAGCGCCTGCCTTGACATCAGCAGGAAGTTGAAGTGAAGCAAACGAGGACAAACAGGTCCATGGGTGGAAAGAGACGAGGAGGGGGGAGGTGAGGGAATGGGAGTGTGATAAGGTCCATGGGAGGGAGGAGAGGAGAGGAGTATGAAGATGCAAGAGTTGTCTCACTAGGTCAGTGACGGCGAGCTGGCGAGAACGGTAGGGCTTGAGAAGAAGACGATCCTTGGAATCAGGTTGGGAGCCTTGAAGACCGTGAGAACAGAAACAGAGCAGAGAACATGCAGAACGAGGATAGGGACGAGGACGAGGACGAGGACGAGGACGAGGACGAGGACGAGGACGAGGACGAGGATGAGGACGAGGATGAGGACGAGGACGAGGACGAGGACGAGGACGAGGACGAGGACGAGGATGAAGACGACGAGGATAGGGAGTGAGGATAGGGATGAGGATAGGGACGAGGATAGGGACGAGGACGAGGATAGGAT